TGAGACAAAAGGGGGAGGAACCTCTTTCCCACCTGCCCAGCAGCATCAGAGCCACACTGGGAAGGAGGGAAGGGAAACGGAAGCCAGGTGCCCTGACCTCATCCCTGCACGCGCAGGAGCTTCTGCATCACAGCCTCGAGGCACTGGGTTCCCTATTTCTGCGGGGGTGGGAAGGACAGGCCACACTTGGATTCCCTTGGCCTAGGAGGAGTCAGCCGGAGCTGGCTGAGGATTGGGCTGTGGCAGAAAAAGCCCTGGCCAGGTGCCCACAAGCCCCCACTCAGTCTTACCTGCCTGCTGTCTGACCTTGGGCAAGTCACTGTCCCTCTCTGGGCCACAGTTGCCTCAAAAATGGGGACGAACAGTTGCCTCAAAAATGGGGACGAACAGCTGCTCTCTGTGACCTTCTGCCTGAGACAGTGGTGACCAGCCTCTGGGCCTTGACCCCCTGGCCAGAGCCTTGGCACAGTGTGGCCTCCTAGGCAGCCATCCCCCGGCCAAAGGTGGGGCATGGGGCCCCCAGATGGGCGAGCTGGGTCCTCTCCCCGCTTCCCCTCCTGCTCAGCTCTGAATAGAGTTTTTCTGGGCCTCAGCCCCCCTCCTTCCTCCCAGAAAGGACCTCGTGACTCACCTGACTCTTTCTCTCTCCCTCTCTCCCCACCCCTCCCTCCCTCCGTTCCCATCTCCTCTCCGCCCTTCTCCTGGCCCTGCACTACCCCGTCCTCACCGGCCTCACCCTCTCATCCTCCTCCCGGTGTTCTGACCACTCCCCACCCCGTCTCCCTGCCCCCTCTTATTTTCTAGCTGTTACAAGCCAGAGGCACCCGGATGTGAGGCCCCAGATCGCCTCCAGGGACTTGGGGTTCCGTTCTGAAATCCTTTATTTTTGTACCACGGGGTGGGCCCCCAGCCCGAGGCGGAGGAAGAGCTCTCCCCGCTGTCACCTCTGTCTACACCTGCGGGGCTGTGATTTACCCCTGCCTCCGGGGGCCGGGTGGGGGCCCACTGGGACCTCGCAAGGCCTGACGTGGGCCCTGGGACCCCTGGGGCAGAGCCGCCTGCCGGTGGTCAAAGTGTGGCACTGTCCAGCTGTGTCTTCCAGGCCCCTACGTCCCCTCCCTCAGGTCCCCCAGCTGCATGGCAGATACGCTCCCCGCCCCGGCCAGTCACATCACCTCCTTTAGTCTCCCTGTCTGTCAGATGGGTTCACTTCCTGCCCTACCTACCTCACGTTTGTTGTGAGGTTACCGAGAGGAGCAAAGGTCCCCGAAAGCCCTCAGGGAGGGCACAAGGCGCAGACTCGGACCTGCCTGGCCCAGGATGGAGATTGAGGGACTGGTGGGCGCTGAAGGGCGTGGGGTTAGCCCTGTTGAAGGAGGGGATGGGTGACTCGGCCTTCACCTTCCTTGCCTGCTCCCCGCACCCCTGCCGTCTGTACTGCTGGTCGCACAGCGCCCTGGCCAGGAGGAAGGGAGGCATTGG